TAACTCCAGCTTTGTGTCTTTTTCATTGTAGCTGAAGTCCAGGACAAACTGTGTTTCTTTTCACCTAAATACGAAACGCGTAATATTTTCTCTGAATACGAGACGATTCAGTTTTTTACTGGACGGTTGGCAACTCTAATAATTAATCTTATGAACAAAATAAAGTTCAACATCAGTAACATAGCACCACCCAGCTGCATAGAAACTCCGTCATGCTAGCTAGCACGCAGTACGAAAAAGTCAGCATAACGAAAATAAACTCCACATAAACTTGGTTCATATCTGACCCAGATGGACTGCAGGTTATAACTTCTTACCTGAAGTTCAGTTCACCTGACACTTCGGACCAGCGGCCGCTTCGGGTCTCTCCTCTTGCCTCCCTTTTCTTTCATCCACCTGCTGGCCTCCACCACTTGCTAATGTTATTGAATCTGTGGAAGCTCCGCGATAGCCACCACACGAAGTAACTAATAACGAGCCTATCTAAATCCCAGTAACGAGTAATACGTTCCTGGTTTTGGCATAATAACTAGTTACCGTGCTCGTTACCACAATAATAACGTAGTTACTGTAACACGTTACTTAATAACGCGTTAGTCCCAACACTGGTGGAAGGCTGCCTGCGTGTCCCAAGTGCTGACAGGGAGAGGAAACAGTCTTTTTGTGGTGTCCTCTTCTTTGGATGCCCACTTTGTTTGGTGTTTTTTTATGGGTGGACACACATACTCAACTCTGCTGCTTAATACAAAAATCCATTTTCATTATAGATACCATTTAAGAGGAAACAGTAGTATAAGATTTTTTTATTACATTTTACATAACATTAAAAAGGAAATCTCACTAGAGTTAAATTTGACACAGATGCATGATTTCATGAACTCATCCATTTCCCATCTGAACCTGTACATCTCTCTCTCTCTCTCTCTCTCTCCTTTGTGACTGTAGGTTTCTTCATCTTCCTTTGGTTTGTGATGTCACTGAGAAAGGTTAAAACCTCAGCTACTAAGATGAGCAGTGAAACACGCAGCACTAACGGCTAGTTTAAACACTAGTAGCAACAACTTAATAAGAGTCTGTGTGTGTCAGTATAATTCATATTGTAATACAGTGACAACATGATTATGTCCTCTTTAAATCATGATGTTTATTTATACAACAGCACATACAACAGTTTATTTATACAAGGCAGGTGAGCGAGAGTGAATATTAATGTTATGTTTGAAACTTTATTGATGAAATACCTAAAATCTTTGTGGTGAGGAATTAATCTCTCCTAAGAGCAACTTAGAGGATGTGTTCCCTTTGCATTGTAAGCTTTTCTATATGGTTTATAATTTCTGTCTCCCATATTTCCAACAACCATATCCATAGTCACATTCTGTGTATGCTACCGTTGTATATAGTGTATTATCTTACGCATTTTATATTTGTTTCTATTTTATTTGTATTTTTTGTATTTTCCTTCAGCTATCTGTACCTGATAAAGCAAAAATTTTGCCACCGTGGGATCAATAAAGTCTTATCTTATATATATATGTACATTATAAGTTTGTATCCGAACATATATTCTTGTATACCTGTGTTCCCAATATTAAAAGCATAATGCTTGTTTTGCTGTTAGGAAAACAATTCTGTTTTACTGAGTTTATTACTAAAACAGAAGTAACGTTAAATCAATCAGATCTAAAAACAGTTCCAACTTGATTCCTTAAAATCAGCTGATTTTTATTTATTTGTAGAATACCTTTGTAATGTAATGTAGCCAGACAGAATTTTCCTTTCATAAACTAGTAAAATTTAGAGTTGTAGCCATCTAAAGCCAAAATCTTGTTTCATTCCCTCACATCCTTTTTGTCTAAACAACTTTGAGCATCAACATGGGATGTATCACAGTTTTAGTATAAAAACTGCACCATTTTAATACCTGTAATACCATTAGTTAATATAAACAAACAAATATGTACGCTATTTGAACTTTAAGATAATTTATTGGAGAACCTTTCAAAAGGTACATTTTGGGTGCAGTCCCAAGAGTCACATCACCAATATCCTGACCGAAATTAATTATGACATTTTTTTTTATTTTTTTTACCTACTTTTGATATCATGCCAATATTTTCATTCTCTCTGTATCTAAACAGTTTTCTAATATACTTTTATATGTGAGTCCGTAGTGGCCGTCCAGCCTTCTGATACTGCCATTTCTTGATGAATTTTAAACAAATGGCAGCATTGTTTTTTTTCCAAAGGTCACCACTGTAAATAAAAATATATTCTCAATGTCTGGTTAAATGAATAAGATATACTTATGTAATAAATAAGTATATAAAGGGTATAGAAAATTTGTATTTGTAGTTTTTAAAGATTACAGTTAGTAATGAAAAAAAAACATAAATTAGAACCTGTGGGTTTTAAACTAATGTAACACCATTGTGAAGATTTATTCACCCTTTATATAGGACACAATTTCGATTCAAAATGTATAAACATCTCAGATAAGTATGGCATGACAATATAAGTGCTACAAGTCATTGTGAATGTGTATTTTCTCTACAGGTGAGTGCTTCCCTCTCAGAAAACGACCTGAAGATATTAACAGACATTACTCTGATTGGCTGCAGCCTTTAGCTTTTTGCTCTGGCTTTCACCCTTTCGCTCTTCATCACAAATAGGTAAATTACTCGTCTTTCAATGATTTATTTCCAAGATAAATACTGTCCACTTACCATGTTGTCCTTGCTCCCAACAACTCTTCAGACTTTTTTACTGTTCTTTTCTAATGCCTTTGTCTTTCTCTCCTTCAATTCATTACTAAAAGGCAATGCAGGAGTGCTCTTCTGCTATTTTCCTCTTCTTTTTGAAGAAAATATAATCCCTTCATCTTTAATACTGTCATCTAGGCTTTCTTCCCTTACTTTATGATTGGCCTAATGTTCCTCAAACAATGACATCACCTGACAGGAAACTCAGACAAGATGTTTCTGTGAAAGTCCACATCAACCTTTTAATTGCTCTGATGCTCCTCAACCTGCACTTCCTGCCCAGTCAGGCAGTGGCAGCAGGGTCCTCCTCTGGACTTTGCTTATACATGGCTCTTTTACTTCATTATTCCCTGCTAGCCACTTTCAGCTGGATGGCCCTGGAAGGGTTCCACCTATATCTTCTCTTGGTCAAAGTCTTCAACATCTATGTGAAGAGATACCAAATCAAACTCAGCGTGGTCAGATGGGGTGAGTGGAATTGTTTAGGGGAGCTGTCATTAGCAGTCTGTAAGCCTTTGAATGATTGCTCAGTTCTTGCATTTCAGGTGTTCCTGACTTTTATCGTCCTGTCTCTCTGGACACATCCAGCAACTCCAACAATACTGCAATGTAAGAAGCAAATTTACAGACATTTAAAATCTCAACAATAACTTAAATTGTTTTGCATGTGCATGTATACTTGAATGTTTAAATGGAAAAAAGGAATAGGCAGAGTAAAATTGCATCCACATTAATATTTCTGCAGAATTCATTTTTGCTTTTACAATGTGAGTGAATGTGACTGAAAAGAACACCTGCACTCTCGTTGTAGATGTTACATCACCAGTTATGAAGTGAAGATGGTGACTACAGTGGGATTGTTCAGTTTGGTGTTCCTCTTTAACATGATCATGTTTGGGGTGACAGTCAGACATGTTTGGATTCTCCGATGTTACCAAGAGATACATGGTAATTTTTTCATCTTTAGTGTTGAAAAGTACAGTAATATATCATAATCTTCTCTATCAGCATATCCATTAAAAGCAATAAAATCAGGAATGAATAGAGTGATGGCATTCATACTGAATTTATTGGCAATAAGAAATATATATTGTTATTTATATAATTATATTATCATTATTGCTTGTGTTTATCTTTTGGGTTTCACCTTCCTTCAATTAATATGCAAACCTAATGATATACTGCTGAATCTCTTAGCTTTTATAGTGACCTTTAATTGATGTTCTGGCTTTTGTCTAATTCATACTCAGCTGCTTTTATTAAACACACTGTTTGTATATGTATATGTTTTCTTGTTTTTATGACTGATTAACACTTGTCATAAAAAGAAGAAAACACAACTAATTTAGAAACTATCCATCCATCCATCCATCCATTTTCATCCGCTTTAGTCCGGGGCCGGGTCGCGGGGGCAGCAGCCTAAGCAAAGAGGCCCAGACCTCCCTCTCCCCAGCCACCTCCTCCAGCTTATCCGGGGGAATACCAAGGCGTTCCCAGGCCAGCCGAGAGATATAATCTCTCCAGCGTGTCCTGGGTCTGCCCCGGGGCCTCCTCCCGGTGGGACATGCCTGGAACACCTCACCCAGGAGGCGCCCAGGGGGCATCCTTGTCAGATGCCCGAACCACCTCAGCTGGCTCCTTTCGATGTGGAGCAGCAGCTGCTCTACTCTGAGCCCCTCCCGGATGGCCGAACTTCTCACCCTATCTCTAAGGGAGAGGCCAGCCACCCTTCGGAGGAAGCTCATTTCTGCCGCTTGTATCCGCGATCTCGTTCTTTCGGTCACTACCCACAGCTCGTGGCCATAGGTGAGGGTAGGGACGTAGATCGACCGGTAAATTGAGAGCTTCGCTTTTACACTCAGCTCCCTCTTCACCACGACTGACCGGTGCAGCGTCCGCATTACTGCAGCTGCAGCCCCAATCCGTCTGTCGATCTCCGGCTCCCTTCTCCCATCACTCGCGAACAAGACCCCGAGATACTTGAACTCCTCCACTTGGGGCAGGAACTCATCCCCGACCCGGAGTGGGCACTCCACCCTTTTCCGGCTGAGAACCATGGCCTCAGATTTGGAGGTGCTGATCCTCATTCCCGCTGCTTCACACATTTAGAAACTAAAAATTACTTAATTCACTGAACCAGATTCACGTTTTATACCCACATTTGAGACTCAACCACTAAAACTAAGGTTTCTGTTCGAGAATGTAGGTAAATATGTGTGATTTGACATTTTAATAAAAATGTTTTACAGCTTTTTTGTGAAACAGTAAGAAAATTAATGGATAATAATTATAATTATAAGTTTTACTATTTTTTCTGAATTTTTGTAAAAATGGTAAATTAGAACATTCAACAATAATTTAATTTTAACATTAAAAATATTATTTTGATTAAAGAAATAGTGGTGGCTGTAGCTCAGGAGGTAAAACAGGTCAATCTTCAAATCAGAAGGTTGGTGGTTGGTGGCTGCTCAAGTCTGGATGTCAAAAATCCTTGGGCAAGATACTGAACCCCAAGTTGCACTGTAATGCATCCATCAGAGTGTGAATGTGTGTGGATGTTGGGTAGAAAGCATTTAGCATACAAAAAAAGTGCTTGCATGAATGAGTGTGAATGAAGAAGGATTGTTGTAGCACTTTGAGTACTCGGATAGAGTAGAAACAACAATAATTATATCATAGCATTAAAATATAACTTCAATCAAAAAGCTTGCATCCACCTGGCTTAATAGTGGATTAAACACTATAGAAATTTAAAAAAAAAGATTTTGGTAATTACCAGTTCTGTTAATTTAGAGCAGCTGTAGCATAAACCCTGCACTGGGTGTGGTCTGAATGTGTTGAACACTGTTAAACAAACCAAATAAGAAATGTGATTTCCCTAATTTGGCAAGAATTTTGTCTCTGAATTTAAAATCACTTTTCAAAGTCTCCTTCTACCAGTTTCAGTTGTTCTGTAATCTCCTGTGTCACTGTATATTTGATAAATCATAAAAAAAGAACAACAACTACAAAACCAAAAATCTATTTCACTCCAATGTGTTGATCAGAGATACAACCCATATGGAAAAGATATATGTAAATCTTATAAAGTTTGTATCTGTCTTGTGTGAAACTTTTGCCCCCCAAAAAAGGAATGTACAAAACGAAGGAGAACAATGCCGGTCCGTACAAAGACAGACTTGATGAAAAGTCAAAGAAAAGATACGAGGAAAAAATCAAAGGAGTGAAAGGGTCAGACCCTTACGAGCACACAGAGTGGACAAAAGACGTTAGCGTGCTGCCCAACTTTCACCACGCTCATATTTATAATCATACGGTTCTTGGAGTGAGTGCACACACTCATGAAGTTTTTAGTAACTTCAGGTCACTGCAACAAGCCCAGATACAGTTTACTGACGGATGGGTACAGGACCTTGAAATGCATCGAGTAGAACAAAAGACCATCATACGAACAAAGGTAAGTTTACCAGTCTCACAAATCGTCTTCATAAATACACATTCGTTAACCGTTTATTAATAGGACCTTTGAGCTCAACGGTAATTAATTAGTAGTGGAAGTAATTTCTGGTATGCGTTACAGAAATGTAGCAGTGACAATAATATTGTATGCTGTAATCATACTGGGCAATTAGTGATACAAAAAAACAGTTTTATCCTGTGAATAAAAGTATATGTTTTTGTCAATGTACCATGGTAATAACAGAATCGAAACGCAATATTCTGTCAGGACAATTCACTATTTATGCACAATAAACAAAGGAGCATAGCGCGACAATTTCTGTTCAGCGCCAGACAGAGCCGCGGACCTTCAGTAATAGTAATAAATCACATTCATGTAGTTGTAAAAAGCATGAAAATATATTAAGTAATCCAAAGTATTCAGAATACGTTACTCTCATTGAGTAATGTAACAGAACACGTTACAAAATACATTTTGGGGCATGTATTCTGTAATCTGTAGTGGAATACATTTTAAAAGTAACCTTCCCACTTCCCACTGTTTGTACTTGCTCCTACTATATCAACTCTTATCTCCACTCCCCACTCTTGTGTCCACTCTTATCTTCCTTTCTTGCTTGAATTTTTTCGCTGCATATTCCTGATTGATTTGTGGATTTATGCATTTAGTAATTCTTTTATTTTGTTGCAATGCTTTAACTCTTTCTTCATTTTCTCATTTTTACTTCTTATCAAAAAATGTAAAACTTCTTCCCAAGAACGATATGACCCTCGACAACAACCCAGAACTTGTCACTTGCCAAAGACAGCTTCTGCCCATTCTGAAAGGACACACAGAGAAGATATACCCGTGAAGATTGACATCAATTTTGTAATCACCCTGACCTTGCTTAACCCGCATCTCCTGTTCAGGCACACAGTGGCAGCACTGTCCTCCAATTGGGCTTTTTGTTTTACAAGGCTCTTGGCTGTCACTGCTCCCTGCTGGCCAATTTAAGTTGGATGGCCTTGTAGGGGTTCCACCTCTGCCTTCTCTTTATTAAAGTGTTCAACAAGTTTGTCAAACGATTCCGGCTCAAACTTAGAGTGGTGGTATGAGGTGAGTGGAACAATTTCGGCAGGACGGTGTTTGTAAACATCTGAATGACTGCTCAGTTCTTGTGTTTCAGCTGTCTCTGCAGTCATTGCATCAGTTTCAGTGACTGATAGAGAGGTTTTTATGGCTCTGTACAGTTCTATAAAAACAAAGCAATGCAAGGAATACATTTGCAAGCATGTAAAATCTTATACCTGTTTGCTGTTTTGCATTTACATCAGAGTTTCTGGATCTTTGCATGTTTAAATAAGGATGGTGCATGCACGCATGCATGAGTCACATGCATAGTTAACATTTTCTATTAAGAATTCATTTTTCATTGTTTCAGTGTGAGGGATTATATCATCAGTCATAATTCCCTCTATTTCTTTGTAGATGCTAGATGCCTGTCATGAGGCTCAGATGGTGACTAAGGTAGTGTTCAGGTGGGTTGTTCTAGGTTGTTCTCTGTTTTGTGATCATCCTTGAGATGACACTTACATGGTACATGCTAATGTTGTCATCTTTATGTATTGAAAAGTATAGTTATATGTAACATTTTCTCCATCAGTATACCCCTTTTTGCTCATTTTTATTATTGACCACATCTTCCAGGATACACACACTTGATGATAGGTTGTCGAATCTGTCAAAACAAAAAGTACCAAGAGCATCAAGCAGCAAGTTAAAAAGAACCGCTAAAAAATGTGACACTATTGATGTATTGTGATGTGCAGACAACAATATTTTCCTTGAATGGCAGTTTTAGCAGTCACTCTTGAAACACAATTTAATGTCTGTTAGTTTCATGTTGTAATCTGCTGTGACATTTTCTGTTTGACAAATCAGTTTTTGTATGGAGCCAAGAAAGACATTTTTACCCCACTGGGGGTAGGGATGGGTATCGAAACCCGGTTCTTGTTGAGAACCGGTTCCCACTGTTTCAATTCCTTGGAATTGTTTGCTATTTTTGCAAACGATTCCCTTATCGATTCCAGTCGCCCCGAATGATGTCACCACGTTGCGGAGCGTCGCTTACCTGGCAGGAAACACGGCTCAAATGCTCAAAAGTTTGGCTATACTTTACGAGAACGGATGACAACAGGGCAACTTGCAATACTTGCAAAGTAGATATTTCATTTATCTATCTATTTCATATTTCCACGAATATGCAAAAGTATTTGCTCATAAAACACACGATGACCTTAAATGAATGTCATGTTTTTAATTCCGCTCCGGAGTCGTGAATCTCAACCCAGCAGCAGCGGTAACGTTTGCACGTGCTCTCCCGTTAATGCGGCAGGTAAATAATCAACTAACAGTGCATATTATGTTAGCGCGATCTGCCTTATTACAAAATCTGCCATTACTGTGCATTTAGGTGACCATGATGAGAGAGACAGAGTCTGGCTCAGATGCTGGCAGTTGTCGCTGCAGTCTACCTGTAGCGTCTCCTTTCAGGCCAGGATAGACGAATGTCACCGAGCAGTGACTAAGTTTGTGGTCAAAGATTTGGACCTATTTGCCACAGCAGATGCCCCGATTTTCGGTAAGTGAATGTGTTTAATTGTAGGCAGGGACATTACTGGATATTCTTGTGTAGTTGCTACTGAATAATTTATGTTATACTTTGTTATTGCTACAGAAGAATATTTATTTTATTATTTTACATTTACAATTTTTTTCCCGGGGACCCTGTGACACCCCATTGAAGAGCCGTAGGCTGGATCTCTTAAGATCTCACTGCTGGGTTTGTAAGGCCATGTTACTCCTAAATTTCTATCTTGTTCAAAGAGAAGACATAAAACAAAGTTCTAAGCTATTCGACCTTAGTGTTCTCCTTTTTTAAAAATAAGAATTGATAAGAGAATCGATAAACAATTGAATCGTTAAACAAAATCGAAAATGGAATTGGAATCGTGAAAATCTTATCAATACCCATCCCTAACTGGGGGTCATCACTCTGCTTGGCATTACCTGGGGTCTGACCGTCTTCGCTTTTGGCTACCTGACAGCTCCTGACCGATAAATCTTCAGCATCCTGAACTCTTTGCAAGGTCTGAAAAATGTTTGTCTTAGTGTTCAGCTCAGTTGTATGTAAATAATATTGCAAACTAAGCAAGTGCTGTGTGTGTGTGTGTGTGTGTGTGTGTGTGTGTGTGTGTGTGTGTGTGTGTGTGTGTATATATGCTACATATATCTGAATCCATCCTGTGGATGTGAATATATTGCAGATATATGATATATTGCAAACATAATTCAGAATAGATGAATGAGAGAAAAACATGTCATGAAAAAACTACATCATATATAACATAAGAATGGGAAAAAATTCAGACATTCATAATTTGTGAATGTTTACTGTTTATAGTTCATTACAAGCAATGCTTGTCAAGTAAAAAGTATAAGAAATTTATCAGGAACTTTTAGAATTGCAAAACATGTTTATGCAGTGGAATTTTGCTAAAAGCAGGCTCCTCTGTCTACAGAGTATGGAAATCATTCTATGAGGAAAGAACATGACAGAGGCTAATGCGCAATATTATAATGGATGGTTCCACATGCAGATTTTGTTTTGTTTAGGGATAAACAGAAAACTGCCACTGTTGTTGTATCAGTTTGTAGCAACTACCTCTAATAATAATGGTTTTCACTTAAAAATAAAATAGCAAGATGGAGACAGAAAACCTTTGTGGCAGCAACTTTACTCTTCCCACACTCAGCACCTCCACTTACAACACTTTGTTCTGACCTCTCATGTGACTAAATTGAGAATGTAGAATATGGAAAAGAATACGGAAATCTGAAAAACATGCAAACACCAAATGCAAATGCAAATGTGCAAATCGTTAGCTCTGTAAACACTGCAAAGACACGGCAGTTTCAGTGTTATTCTGTAGCTAATGCGGGAGACCTCAGTTCCCAAGTCGCCACCTCGGCTAACCAGACGCCGCTGGACCGGCCTGTGCGTCCACAGACAGGAGGGTTGCCACAACATGAACAAAATTAATTTCCACAGGTCCACTAGGTGTCAACCTTTGATCCTAAAATGTGTCTTCGCTCTAGTGCCCTTCAATTCACACATCCGTCACTGTCACCATGTTCCTATTTCACACAATGAAACACACAGAGAGCGCGTCTCACACGCAGAAACACACAGAAACCTCTGAGCTCAACTTACAGTTTCTTGCCACAAAAGCCAGTCATAGACAAAGTTAAATGTGGAATGTAACGTGGGCTGCAACTCTAGTCTCAACGTAGAATGTTTTTAGTATCTTGCTAGAGCCAGTTCGTATGACACTGGAATTCAGCCTCAACTTATGATGTTAGTATCTCGTGCCGAAAACCAGACACCGACATTTTAGTGTGAAAATACGTGTAACTCAGCGAACAGATTAATTTAGAATTTCCAATATGAACATTTGGTATTTTTGATACAACAGGCTGTGCTTACCTTTTTATATTTGGACCGGTCCTCTGCTCGCCTCGCCTCACGATCTCACCACAGGCCAAATCGGCCTTCCTCAGCACACCAAAGATCCGGGTCGCGCAGCACCAAATTGTTAAAACCTCCCAATTGTTTTGATCTTTGGGCTGAAGGAAGGACAATACTGTATATAAATGGTGTATAAATGCTCAATCAACAATCTTTTATTCCATACTCAACACTTTATGAGCATAAACCATCCGGAGGAGAGATGAGCACGGGAGGGTGTCTGCCTGATCCCGAAGTGTCTCAGCGTTCCTCAGATTCTTATAGCTTCCGCCTCCCCTCCACCTAGTCATAAAACCTAAACATCCACATTCTTTCTCTCTCTCAGTGAACCTGAGTTATGACCTTGGCTCCCTGTTTTTCTGCTTCCAACAAAGGTGGGGGTGAAGCTCCTGTGGAATGTGTTCTGTGCTCTCTGCACACAATATTCTCTTCTTAACTCAGCAGTATGAAATGTCATGAAACAGTGTAACTCATTCACAGTAAATCAACAGTATAGGATAATACAAACCTATCTAATAAATCTAATGATTTTCACATTCTTTTTAATTCAGAAATATAATGCAAACTATACTACATACTGATTATACTCTCTATAATAAGAAGTATAATGCGTCTTACAGCAGTATAATGATTCACTGTTTGATACTTGAGACGGGCGATTGTGGCTCAGGAGTTGGGAGTTCGCCTTGTAATCGGAAGGTTGCCGGTTTGAGCCCTGGCTTGGACAGTGTCCGGCAGCCTCGCCTCTGTCAGTGCGCCCCAGGGTGGCTGTGGCTACAATGTAGCTTGCTGTGTGTGTGAATGGGTGGATGACTGGTTGTGTAAAGTGCTTTGGGGTCCTTAGGGACTAGTAAAGCGCTATACAAATACAGGCCAATTAACCATACTTGGTGTTTTCGCTTGGTTATTATCTCTGTCAGGTTGATTCTGGCATTTTGTAGATGCAGAAAGCCAAGCCAGTGTGCAAACTGAGGGCCCTTTTCCCTCAATCAAACTTGGATTAAGATACTGATGTTTTGCATATGCAGTTTCCAGTTTGCTTCAGTTATTTGACATCAGCCTGTATTTAGTTTAGGATCAGTGCCAACAGAGGGAATATTTTACTCTCCTGTCTGTTAACACTTCCTCTTTCTCTCTCAGACAGTAATTTACATCTTATTTCATTTCCCATTACCCTGCTCACTTTCAGCATGTTTAACTCATTTGCTTTTTTCCTACCATCATATCACCTGTGTTCTCTATTCATTTCAGAAGTATAAATAATATTATTTAAGAGACCCAGCAACATGCAAAGGTAGGATATGGTTTGGTTCTCTTTGCATAAAAAGATGTTTAGCTTCATTATCAATATTGGGACTGCAAAATATATATTAGCTATTTAACTAAGCACACAAAATTGTTTTGTGCGAACACATAAAGCTGTAGATGAGTGTTTGCTCTTTGCTGTGTCTCTTTTAAAGACTTAGATTCACCATTGCTAAAATATATCTGTCTATCACTAATGTTCCGCATGAAATGGAATGAGATGGATTAATAACACCATGTGGTTTTGTCAGATTGTTTTATGCACTGCTATGTAATAAGACCTCATCTGCAGCCACTGGCTTTTGGTTGAAAAAAGGAAACCCACAGTTGTCATTTGTTATCATAATTACAATAATAAACGTCCACTTAAGTATATGGGGTCACCTTATATGAAAGCTATAAACACTGTCTGCTTGAAATGAGAGACAACACAATCTCTTGTCTTGTCTTCATCCTAGACCTCCTTTTGGCTTGTAAATTGCTTTCATGACAAACATCCTTTTTTTGTTAAGCAGAGACTTTTTTTTAAAATAGATTAATTTTCTCAATTTCACAGGATTAAGTGGGGGATACTTTGGTGGCTGGTGTCTTGTGTGTCTCATGACATGGTCTCTGTAAACTGTGCATCAGAAACGTCTATCTGTGGAAAATCTAGTTCTTTTTGTGATCCACATAAAAACATTACCATGAGTAAGTATTTCCATGTATTTATTGAAATTCCTATTGCTAACAGTATAGGAACATCCCCTTACTTTAATACTGTTGTTTTTTGGCATAAAGCAGGTCTAAATGCTAGCCTATAAGTTCTCTGAAACTGTCAAACTGCTGCAATACATGTAAACTCACCATTAAAACATCTTAAAATATGAAAGACCTCCTCACAGATGAAAAGGAAGTACAGGCAAAAACATACCATACACTTCTTGTGACTAGCATAAATAATCAAAACAAAATAAATTCTAACCAGCATACTAATGGAGCTAAACAGGAAACAATACAAAATCAAGAAATAATGAGAAAAAAACTGAAGTGGAAGAAAATAACTAACAATCTAAACAAAAACCAGATAATCACAAAATGCAAAAATCAAAGCAATTAACAGTTTCACCTCCAAGCAAAATATGCGAGATGCTCAGCTCAGAAAACAAGAGGCCTTATACACTGTAAACATAGGAACTGATGATACAGTTACTTATATGTCCCACCAGGCCTCCTCTCGGTGGGACATGCCTCCACCTCAGCAGGAGGCATCCTTGTCAGATGCCCGCAGCACCTCAACTGGCTCCTTTCGATGTGGTGGAGCAGCGGCTGTACTCGGATGACTTCTCGCCCTAAGGGAGAGGCCAGCCACCCTTCAGTGGAAGCCCATTTCCACCGCTTGTATTCGCAGTCTCGTTCTTTTGGTCACTACCATGACCATAGGTGAGGGTAGGGTTGTAGATCGACTGGTAAATTGAGAGCTTCGCTTTTACACTCAGCTCCCTGATTGCAGACTGCATCACTGCAGCCGCAGCACCAATCTGTCTGTCAATCTCCTGCTCTCTTCTCCCATCACTCGTGAACAAGACCCCGAGATACTTAAACTCTTCCACTTGGGGCAGGAACTCGTCCCAAACCCAGAGTGGGCTCTGCACCCTTTTCCGCCCACTCCGGGTCAGCGACGAGCTCCTGCCCCAAGTGGGGCATAATTATAGAGCTAATGTGAATTCAGCTAAGGTATGCTGAATCTTTAAGCTGGATGATTGTTTGCTTTTCTCCAACCTTTTGTGCTCACATTCTAATACATTTTTATAATTCTACATTGTCGATTTCTACATTCTAATATAACCCAAGTACAGCCGGATTCCTAGTAATGTCTTTTTTTTTTAAAAATTTGACAGGCAATAGAAAGAGTATATGATAACAATTCAAATACCACACAATAACGACATTAACCCTTTAACTAACTGTTGAGATCACCATTCTTCATCATCATCATCATAATCGTTTATTTGTATAGCACTTTAAGAACACACCAGGCAGACCAAAGTGCTGAACAACACAGATCAAAACAACTACCAAATTAAAAATACCATAGAATCATTAAAAAATAGACGCTTGTCTAATATGGAGGGGAAGGTTATTCCAGAGCATTGGAGCCGCGATTGAAAACGCTCGGTCTCCTCTGCATTTCATTCATGACTTAGGGCCCGACAGCAACAGCCACTCAGCTGAATGGAGCGAGCGAGGAAGAACGTGCTTCAGCAAATCAGATAAGTAGACAGGAGCCAAACCATTTAAAGATTTAAAAACCAATAAAAGGACTTTAAAACGAACCCTAAATTCAATGGGAGGCCAATGCAAGGAGGCCAGAACCGGAGTGATGTGATCGAATTTCCTACTACCGGATAAAAATCGTGCCGCCGCATTTTGCACTAACTGCACGCGTGACAAGGTGTCCGACCCAACCCCTATTAAAAGGGAATTACAATAGTCTAGACGTGAGGTGATAAAAGCATGAATAAGAGTTTCCAAATTTGTCACGGTTTGCCGGGGCAAGCCGTGTGGAGTAGTAGAAAGGACCCAAAAGGCGGCAGCTCTGGTGCAGGTGAATATTTATTTACAAGGGTGGGTACAAACAGCAATGGTGGGAAAACATGAAACCGGAAACCTAAACTGGGTAAACTAATAAGACAAACCTGATGTAATGAAATGAGTGTCTGCCGCTCACATGGACTGTTTCTGTCTGTTACTCTCTGAACTCTTTGTAAATGCAAGGTAAACAGCAGTATGCTGTTGAAAATAAAGCTACAGATGCATATACAGTCTAGAACAGAAGTGAAAACAGCACAGACTGTACATTAGCTACAACACTAAAAAGCCTGTTTCAAAAACAAAGAAAAAAACCCCTGAATCAAGTGCCCTTGAACTCTGTTGGAGGCTATAGCTCAGGAGGTAGAGCAGATCATGTGCTAGTTGGAAGGTTGGTAGTTTGATTCCTGCCTCCATGTTGCTGGGCCAGATGCTAATCCTGATTTGCTTTCCGATGAATTGATTGGCATATGAAAGTGTGTGACTGTTATATAGAAAGCACTTAAGCATAGAAAAGGAACTCTAAAAAGTACTCTCATATATATGAGGGTGTATGATATGTATCCTTTTTTTCCTTAACAGCTGAATTCTGTTTGATGAATATATGCAACTTTTCAAGGGGCCCTGAGGACACCATCAAGTAAACATTTACATTTTTATGATTTATTTTTTGTCTGTGTTCCTTCCTGTTTTTGAGTTTTAAAAAAAACTCTTAGATCTAACATTTATATGAGAGTAAAGTATAAAGAATTAGTAGAGTTGAGATTTAAATCATATTCAAGAACAACACATTCTATAAATCACTGAATAGTTAGAAATCAAAATGATTCATATTATCTTGTCCGTTTTTCTCTAAGGTCCTTAATAAACATGGAAGAGGTTCTTAAGAACACAGAGTTAAATGGAAACACATTGATTGCAAATCCTTTCTGCAATTTAGTGGTCCTCGTGATCCAGCCAGAGGCCAGTGAACGCATTGAAATATATGCCAATGACACAAAGGTACGAAAAAAGAAAGAAAATATTCTTAGTGGCAAACATGAAGTCAAACTACAGCCCCCGCTGGCATTTTTTTCATTTTTCTGTCTTGACTGAAATTCACTACATTACCAAAAGTATTTGCATCGCTCAAGTGATGCAACATATTTACATACAGTGTTTCTCTCTGTTTCTGATGATATAGGCGGACGTGGTTTCTCTCCCCAGCAGCACAGTGAGTGTTCAACTACCAGCAGAACTGGGTGCTGGACCAAACAACAAGATTGTGTTTTCCATGTTTACATTTCCTGAAACTAACAGGGTAAGACATTACACTTGGTTATATAAATGTATAGAAAAGGATGTGAATAGCTGTTGTTTAAGATGTGTTAAAATGGGGTGGCTGTAGCTCAGGTCAACTACTGATTGGAAGGTCGGTGGTTCGATGAATGTGTGTTAGTAAGTACTTAGAAGCATAGAAGACCTTTGTTGTGTGAATGGGGTGAATGTGGCATGTTGTATAGAGGGCTTTGAATACTCCGGGAGATTAGAAAAGCACTATATAAGAATCATTCCATTCCATTTTAAGAGCATCTATACCAGGGGTTGGCAACCCTTAACCCTTTTACGCAAGATGAAGATGACTTTGTAGTGGAAAGCACAGTTCTTCATTTCCTACCATAGAAGAAAGTGGTCAGTCAGAAACTCCACATCCTTTGCAGAGGTCATTTTCACACCTTCAGGGACCTTAATTAAAGGGGTCGACCAGCTCTCTCCCTGTGACTTGGGCCCAAAACATGACTCCATCACCTCCTTGCTGACGTTGCAGCCTTGTTGGGACATGGTGGCCGTCCACCAACCATCCACCTGGACCATCCAGGGTTGCATGCATCAGTGAACAAGACTATTTAAAGATTAGTCTTTATATACTTCTGGGTCCACTGCAGCTGTTTCTGCTTGTGAACATTGGTTAGGGGTGGCCAAATAGAAGGTTTATGCACAACTGCAAGTTTCTGGAGGATCCTACACCTTGACGTACGTGGGGTTCCAGAGACACGAGCGGCTTCAAATATCTGTTTGCTGCTTTGTAATGGCCTTTCCGCAGGTGCTGTCTTAATCTGATGTATTTGTCTGGTAGAAACCTTCCTCGTTGTGCCTATATCTGCACAAACCTGTGTGTGCTCTGACTCAGCTACAAATCTCCTAACATTATGGTGATCACGCTTTAGTTTCCATGAATTATTTAAGGTTTTCATTACATGTCGAAGGCATTTAACTATTTCACGCTTATCAGCAGCAGACAGATCCTTTTTCTTTCCCATATTGCTTGAAAATGGTGATCTGTTTAATAATGTGGAATATCCTTCTTTTGTAGTTTTTCCTTTAATTGGGCTCATCTAGCAAACAAAGTCACTTTCATCAACGCAGGACTGTAAGCTGTCATCTGTAAGGCATGAGCGGTGTTTGTTTTTAACATAGCTCATAGTGGAAAATAGCAGTTCACATACATATGTGTATCCGAAGATCGTCATGAATCTGAATGCATATTTCTTCATGTTTATGTGTCGAGGATGGCATTCCATGTTTCAAACACGAGTTAATAATTTTATTTTAATATTTCAAGATCACACTAATCTTCCAATTTAGAACTACAATTTTAAAAAAAGAACTAATGCAAATAAATTAAACTTTAATTAAATTATTATAATTTATTTTGTAAAGTCATGCGGAGCCACAGTATAAGGACGAAAAAGGCTGTGGAGCCGTGGGTTGCCGACCACTGATCTATACTAATTCTGTCTAATGTTTACACTGTATTATTTAACTACCATGGTTGGTTAGTTTTGTTTGTTGTATCCCAAAGAGATTAAAGAAATATTGCCTCTAAATAGCACTTTGGCTTGAAATCAGTTTGTCGCTGCCATTAATTCCATTATTCACATGAATACCAGGCCTCAGTTTTTTATGTCTGTGCAGTTCTGCCAATAACCACAAATACACATAAGCTTTGAATAAAAGACACTAGAAACACATACATATATTTTTTTATTGTTTTAGAAAACCAAAAATTGGTCACTATGCTCTTTGGTCATTCACGCCAATATGCTAGAGGAATATGCCAGATGTGCAAAGTGAATGCTCTTCTGCAGTTACTGTTTACAACAATACACCAAATGTAAATCAATATAAATTTAAATAAACTTGTAGGAATTTAAGTACACCGGTAAGAAATAACCATCACTGGGGGTCTTTTTCCTTTGGATACTGTAAAAGCCCTTCAGAATAGTGAAAAAATCTTACATGATGCATGTTTTAAACAAACCTTCCCATTAATATCAATGTGTCTTGTATTTTAGAAAATGTCTGGAGTGGCACGTGACCTATATAATCTAAAACTAGTTGGCCTGTTGGTACAAAATAAACCTATATCAGGACTAAGTGAACGTGTCAACATAACCATGCAGGTTACCAAAAATATAAATGTAAGTGCAACTTCATTTCATCATTTATTCCATTCATACTTTATATATTATAGTATTAAATAACATGGAATGCATTGTGTATGTGACTAAATATATATCATATATATGCATGTTATGCATAACATAACATGCAGTATAATTGTGTTACAGGAAAACCAGAATCTCTCCTGTCAATTCTTAAATTTGTCAACAGGAAGTGAGTAACCAGTAATCACATTTGTGATGAATAGTAACATGTGACACAAATATGTTATTTTATGAATAGGAATGATTGAGGTTTATGGTTTCAATAGGGACCTAAAAGTTGAACTGTAATTCATTGGTGGCATCTTAACCATAATGGATCTCTTTGTTTTGCTTACCAGGTTATAGTGAGGATGGCTGTGAAACACTTTGGACACGTAACCAGAGTAATGTCACCTGTTCCTGTAACCATCTCACGTACTTTGGTGTACTCCTGGTAAGACTGGACTTGTGCATTATATAAAGAGGAATTCAGGATATACAAAAACAAATATTAATACAAGAGCCATTCATTTATAGCAAAACAAACAATCATTTAAAAAAAACCCATCTACTATCTACTAGAGATGGACCGATCTGATATTACGTATCGGTCCGATACTGACCTAAATTTCTGGATCGGACATCGGAGAGAAATAAAAAATGTAATCCGATCCATTAAATATCACGAAAGCACTCCTCAAAACTTACGACATGGCGTAACTCTGCTCAGAACCTTAGCACGTCGGAGCAGTATGCGTCACGTGATAGAGCAGCTGTGGCGTGCGAGATCTGTCAGCGGTCTGGTTGAGCATTTGGAGCCTCGCTACCAAACCGGCATTTCATCTCCTAGAAAGTTATCCCAGAGAGAAGTAAAGCAAGTGTGTAAGTTCATCTCTGAATGTTTGTAAAGCATTCCCACCTTAAGCTTAACAACCGATATATGGAGCGACTGCCTCTCTCTGTCCCTCCCTCTCTTGTTGCTGCTTCAATCATGAAACTGATCAATGATCGGCTGATCGGCTTTTCTGTCGCGAGTCCGTCTCTCTTGTTTGTTTTTGGCCCACTTTGCACCAGAAAGAGGAAACCAGCGGCTGAACAACAGCAGCACATTTACGCTTGATAAGCTGTTGTTAGAATTTATTTAATATTACTTTCTACACCAGGATCCTTTTCTACGTAGCTGATGGCTGGTAACTGTGCAGGGGCGGATCTAGCAAAGTTTAGCCAGGGGGGCAGGTAGGGCATTAACAGGGAAAGGGGGTAAATCAACAAAAACATTGATAACCTTATGTAAATATGTATTTTCTCCACAGGTTTCTCCACATGTGTCAGAAAAGGACACAATAATATTGACGTATATTTCTCAAATTGGTTGTAGTGTCTCTCTTTTTGCCCTTTCCATTGCAGTTTTGCTGTTCATCACAAATAGGTAACTTTTTGATGATATTCTTTCAACATTCGTCAGTCATCTCCCGTCTCACATATTTAGTATCAGGCTCTTCTCACTAAACCTCTGCTCATTTCTTTCTGTCTTGTTTGTTGTTTGTTTTTGTGAATTTACATCTTTATTCATTACTTTAATAAAAGGAAATACATTCTTTTCGCAACAAATGCAATTCTTTCTGTTATATTATGTTAGTAATTCTGTCAACCATCCCATCCTTCTTCTTGATATGGCTTTCTTCAATGACATGACCACTAAATTTGCCACTTACTCTGTCTCCATTGTCTAACAGAACACTCAGACTAGATGTTTCTATGAAGGTCCACATCAATCTTGCAATTTCTCTCATCATCCTCAACCTGCACTTCCTGCTAAGTTCCACAGTGGCAGCAGTGCCCCCCACTGGGGTCTGTTTATACATGGCTCTTGTCCTTCACTACTCCCTGCTGACCACTTTTAGCTGGATGGCTGTGGAAGGATTCCACCTCTACCTTCTCTTAGTCAAAGTCTTCAACATCTATATCAAGAGATACCTGCTCAAACTCAGTGTGGTGGGGTGGGGTGAGTGGAGCCATTTAAGCAGGAAGCTGTTATTATCAGTCACATAACTTTTAAGTGACTGCTCGGTTCTTGTGTTTCAGGAGTTCCTGCGATCATTGTGTCAGTGGTGGTGATCATAGACAGAGGTTTTTATGGTCCTGCTGTTGTGGACAACTATAACTCCAACAGCACTGTAATGTAAGGAACAAATGTGATTGCATGTAACACCTCGACATAATTAAACTGTTTTGTATGTGCATTGGAGTTTCTGATAATACAATACAATAAAAGCTTAAAAAGGGAAAGGCATACAATCCTATTTAACCTAACATGTAATCTCACAATTTGACTCTGAATCTCAGTAGTTCCACCTACATGCACTCTTACTATGTGACTCTAAATCACCTGGGCAGGTGAGAGATTAAAATATGAACTGTAATCACTTTCTTTGTAGATGTTATATAACTGATAACACGGTGAAGGTGGTGACTACAGTTGTGCTGTTCGGCTTGGTGTTCCTCTTTAACATGATCCTATTTGTGACAACTCTCTGGCATATTTTGATTCTCCGCCGTGTCAAAGAGGTATGGGTTAATCTTTAAATCTTTATAATGCATCTTTAAATCTTGAAAAGTTTATGAATGTCCACATTTTTCTCATCGGCAATCCACAAGGAACACGTGTTAAACATTCAGTAGCATCTTTATTTTAAAGGTAAATAAAGTGAAAGTGGGTTACCAGTCATTTAGTTTTTCTGATAAACATTTATCCATCTTCTAGTACATTTCTAAATTGTGTAATGGGTTAGGTATTGTCAGGGCTCTGTGTGCGGGCAGGCAGAGATGAGGATCCAAATGCAGGACTCGGAAAACAGAATGTAACTCAAAAACCTCAGCTTTATTGCTGGCAGGAAAACAAACATGAAGTGAGGATGGACCACTGAGACCAAGGACACACAGGCATAATCTGTGGGTACGACGTGACACTGGGCATGGGACAACACAGGGCTTAAATACACAGGGTAGTAATGAGGAAATGGGCCACAGAAGGGAGACACAGCTGGGAGAGATCAGGGCTAACGAGACATGGGGAACAAAGCTGCACACACTAACATAAGACAAAGACTTTCACAATAAAACAGGAAACATGAATCACAACTCAGAGACATGGACTCAACACAGAGACAGAAAATGAAACATGGAACTGAACTATACATGAAACCACCATTCCTAAAACATGGATAATAGAAACATGAAACTCTAATAATGATAATAATAATAATAAACATCACAACAAGAGAATGAGAAACAATCCAAAACACCAAGATAACTGAAACACAAAGTACCAGAGAAACAAAGAATAATCCATGATGCAAAAGTGAACCAAAATATAATAAACTCAAAATACTGGGTCCAACGGACCCAGAACCGTGACAGGTATAAACTATTCCTGAGTGTAAATGCTCATCCTTCTGTATTCCTATCGATTTTCTGTCCTTAGTAATATTGCCTGATTAGTATAACCTGTGTTTAATGTGTCAGCTAATCACACATGTTGTTTTCCTAGTGTTTAGTGTTGATTTTCCCATGTTTGACTTTTTTGGAACAGTTTGGAATATGTTTTTTCCCTGCTTCTCACTGAGAATATTTGCCTCAAAGGATACCTTCCAGTGTAATGGCCACTGCCTATCTTGTGCCTAAATTAGTTTTTTACTCCTTAGCCATAAAAGGCTGATGGGGTACTGACATCACCCTGTTGGGCACATAGCCAGAGAGGTGGATGGCATGGACACCCAAGTTTGTGAATGCCAAAATTCAATAATGGGGTGACATTGGGTTTTGAAATTGGCACCGTAGGTGTAGCTACTAAAAATCTTGGACAAGTTCAAACCCTGGTGACACTGACCTCAATGTCAGAGCTCAGCCTTTCTAAAAATCACCTAGGATTTACAACTTTATACCATAGGTGTATCTACCAGGAGGCTGATGGGTAGCACTGGAATCGTATAGTATTTGTATAATTTTACTGTTTTTTACTTACTACCGCTGTGTGCGAGATACCTCTTCCTTGTGTCAAAGTGCTTGCTTGTATGTTTCCATTTAGCATGCTGTATGAGCGAATGAAAGAGTCTAAAGATAATACACAAACTGAAAGAGATGTGATCTCATTCACTAGACAGGAGGCAGTTTTAGTGGTTACTGTTCAAACACATTTAAAAGTCATGTTAGCTTCAAGAGCACAATTTTACATAAGCTGAATAAGAGACATGCTTTCCCTGATGAGATAAGAATAGTGACAACGAGTTATAAAACAGATTTCAAGTTCTCATGCTGCTTGTCAGATGTTCTATAATGTGATGTTTCATTTTATGCTTGGCAAATCAGTTTGGACAGCGCAACCGTGACCATGCCAAGAAAGATATTTGTACCCTGCTGGGAGTCATCACTCTGCTCGGCATTACCTGGGGCCTGGTCTTCTTCTCTTTTGGCCATCTGACCACTCCTGGCCTCTACCTCTTCTGCATCCTGAACTCATTGCAAGGTCTGCATAACCTGCTGAAAGATGAAATACTTGCTTTCAATTTTGCCATGAATGTTTGTAAAGTGTATGAACGAACTGTAACTAGGCACAGTCTTTACTACTTTCTCTCCTTTGTGTGATGCAGGTTTCTTTATATTCCTGTGGTTTGCGATGTCACTGAGAAAGACTAAAAATCCCCGTGCCATGGCAACCAGTGAAATGGCTACAACAAGCAAGTAGTTTGAACAACTACCAACTCATCAAGAAGCTCCCATGTTTGTGTAGTTTATAGGTAATACTGTAAGATGTTCCTACTAACATGTGCTTTCATTATTAATAATATGTCATGAAAAGAAGTGTAGCAAATCCAAATGCAGACTCCAGAAGCAGACTTAATGAAACAAAAAACAAGCCTTATGTGGCTGATTTAAAGCCAAAAGAATGAATCAAAACACTCAGGTCAACAATGAACATCATGCTGTTGTAAGAAAGTTGTAAAGTTTTTTGCCATGCAGGACGAATATAAGCTTACATAAGTGATATTAATCAAGGTTCTATATAATGTGATTTACATTTGTAATACTGTTAATAGGCTACATGTATAAATATACATCAGTGTAGAGTTTCTTTTCTCAGCTGTCACAAATTGGAATTTTCAGGAATTTATTTTACACTAACTGATTCCATATGTTCCTTAGTAATGAAGTGATGATTTTTACTGGTTGTTCTCATTCATACGACTTGCACGAATTACCACAACAAGAGCATTCTGGAGTAAACCAATATATCCCATATGGAAAAGAAATAGTAAAAACTTATATGATTTACTCATGAAAGTGGCAACTTTCTCATTACTTTCATATATTGTTTTAGTAAGTATCCAAAACATACAAGTTTCATTATATGATTTTTCAAGGGATCTTATATCTGTTTTCACTCTTGTATGCTTTTCATACAAGTTTCACACAAGACAGATACAAACTTTATAAGATTTATATATATCTTTTCCAAGGAGTCTAGAATAAGTGTCGCCAGATGTATCAATTTTCTTCTCCTAATTATTATTATAAACCTTTCCTTGATATGATGACGTTTTCCACTGAGGTCAAAAAAAATACACCTTCTGCATTGCCTACTGATGTGATTTGGCTTTGGAAAGTACCTCACCTGGTGCTGGTTTAGTCCTTTGTAGTGTCCTTTGTACATCTGAACGAGCATTGTTAATTCACTAAATGCTGTGACATTAATATCAACAATAAAAGAAAATTAAAATTGTTTATGTAACATGTTTGTCAAGGGTGTAAGTGTGTGGCAGGCAGAGGTGTGGATCCAAAACACACGACTCTGCAACACAGAACAATGGCTTTAATGCTGGTGAAAAGGGCAACAAAAACAAAAGGCAAAAATACCAAAGTAAACTGTACCAGACGTAAAATAAACTCACTCACTATAAGCTGAACTGAAGGGAAACAATGAGGATCTTCAAGGTTCAAAACACTCAGTAAACTACAAAATCTGAAGTTTTGTTTCATTTCATTCCAGTTTCAACAGGTGGCGTACCTGCTGCTTCCAGGCACTCCGAGGTGTCAGGAAATCTATTTTTGTTAACCAGAGTAAATTGTAATTAATGAATTAATGTTTTATTGACATTACCACTTCTATATATTTAACCTTTATTTATACAGGTTGTCCCAATAACATTCACGATTTACAAGAAGGCTCTGTTTCAGACATACAGATTGTAATTACACCCCCATGTGTAAAAGAAAACAGTACCCTATATCTCATTATTATTTTTGCTGCAGATTGTGAAGACCAATACAACACTGGAATCAAAAGTGTAATCAAGTAAATATGATGTAGAAATTTGAATAATATTTAAATACATTATTCAAATGATTAGAAGCATATAGAAGAAAGAAAGAGAGATACTGCTGGGTGAGCTCCATTCACTCACATCATCAGAGAGTGTTATTTATGTATTACTCACATTATTTATTGTATATTGCCTTGGTGCCACTGGGTTTTAGCATGTCTCAATGTCGCACACATTGATGCCATTGAACAGCCGGATTATTATTTTATCTCAGGAAGTTGGGGGGAAGCAGACAATTCAACAGGAACAGTCTTTTGTCTCTTCAACCACTGTAAGAGGTAGCAAGGAAGTGTGAACTTTTCTTTGGGAGAAGACCAAAGGTGTAAAAACTGCCTTTTGTTTCTGTAGAAGGTATTTAAACCCAGGGCTGTGCCAGGTTCAGCAGAGACTTTGCCAGTTGTTTGCCCCGCGATGCCTTCTCTCACCGATCTTGGGTTTTTGTTCTTTTTTGATAAAAGGATGTTAGCTACGCTCACCATTTGTCTGCAAGCATTATTGAATGGAAAACTTCCACAACAGGATGGCATCACGAACAGGATGGTCCATGTGGTTGGTGAACAACGGTTCCCGGGACGGGCTCATCACCCCTGAGGGAAAAGGTACCTTTGTCCTCCTGGCTGTTGAAGTGAGGAAATGGAGGAGCCTCTAGACTGTGTGTTTTAGCCACAACTGAGACATTCGACTCTGAGGGGACTGCTGCAGATGGGTGAGCTGTAGCTAACTTATGTACAGTCCTGGAGACTTTTTGTCTGGCCGCGGTGGAGTGCCTGCAGACTCCGGAGTTTGAGTCTCCGTAGGAAAAATCCTCGGGTTCGAGTCCCCAGGCCTGTGTTTGGTTCTGGGCCATCACAGGGAATGGTGGTTCGAGTCCACTGTTGATAATCATTTCCACATACCGCAATGGGTTAAGTGACTTTTCTGCCGGGAATGGAAGAAAGCCATTGCAGAGGATGCTCTGAATGTAAAGGGAAGCTTAATCCAGTAAGCCGGCGGGCGTTCCAGGGACAAAGCTCAATATCTGACTATGTCAAGAAATGTGGGTGAAAGTATGTTGTGTTAGATGGCAGAGAAGGGTTTTGTGGGAAAGGGTTCAGCATGAACCAGTTGAAAGTTAGAAAAGCAGTTGGAGAGAAAAAAAAAGAGATGTTTGAGAAGTGAGTTAATAGGTTGATGTGTGGGTGAAAATTTTTTAAAAACAATGGTGTAAAAACAATGAAAAATAGGAAATAAAGCAATGAAAACTAAAGAAAAAGAAAGAAGAGGAGAGGAGACAGTGTGGAAGTGTGTGAGAGGGGAATTGTCTCCAACTAGTGGGAGAAGGTGGTACTGCAGTCACCAGCTACCCTTGGTACACACAAAAGAAACAAAATAGGAGTGTTATAATATTATTAAGAGCAATCTTCCCTCTAATTTTTCATGTGTCTGAGCGAATGCACAAACTCCCTGAGCGATCCCTTGGACCACTGTGAGCAACAGCAGATGTGTGCACTGTGGTCACGCCAGCATGGAATCCGTCCAAGTTACATGGTTTATTAAAATAATCAAATTACAACATTTACATTTATGTGAGACTACCTGTGTGGTTATAACAATAAACACAGCATCCTTTTCTCTTTATGTTTAACTTTATAAATTGATTTATTGTGAGCAACACGAATGTTTGCAGTAAAACAGGAACTAACACACAGAGAGAGACTCAGACACGTGGGCTTGATTCTGAGACCAGAGAGAAACAACATGAAAATATGACAGACCAGAGAAAC